CTTGAGGTCCCACCCCATCCCTGATGGCCAAGAGGGACGGATGGGAGACTGACTCCTGCATTGAAAGTACACAAGTGCTGTTCACCACACCACGCTCCCTGGGTAAGCCATGTGGCTGTGAAAAAAGGGTTTTCAACAGTTGATTGTGGTTTGGGTGAAGATTACCAGAGCGCAGTAGCTTCCCTTTCCACGACTCATACGCGTCTTGTTTTGTGACATTAGTTGCAATCCTGTCGATGGGACAGCACTCAACCCGCCTCCTCCTGGGCTCCTCATTTCCAATCGTCCCCTTTCCCACCCCCTCCTGCCTTCTGAGCTTCGTTTTGAGGCAAGGTTTCAAACATTTTTTCTAACCGTTTTCTTTCTAAGTGGGCCAGTTCAAAGAAGCTCCTCCCACCAGAAGAGCGGAGCTCACCTTTTCACCATATTGAACCCAGTTGCCAGATTTGTCTCTCCAATACCAAATCCACTTTGTGGTGAAGACAGACGTGACCGACTTCGTGGGAGATGAGGGGGTGGAGAGCCGTCGCATGGGACTGACATCATAAGTCATCTTCTGGAAATTGATGGTATGGTTCTTTACAGAAACACTGAGGGGAAAAAAAGTTGACAGTCAGCCAAGCGCTACACTGTCCTGTTTTCTACGGTCTGGTCTTCCCTAGCAAGAGAGAAAAATTAAAATGTCAGGGCTGACAGGGACTTCCACCACTTTTTCTACAACTCTGGACCTTATGTATAAATGAAACACTATGATAAAGTGAGATCTAACTTTCCTAAGCTGTGTATTAGAGGGTATCATACACTGGACCATTTCCTCAAGAAGCATCCTCAGATCAAGTGAGGGCCAGGGGCCTCTTTCACAGATGGAGAGCTGAGTACCCAAAATATAAACTCGATGTTAGACAAGTCACGACATGTCTGTTGCACACACAACTCACAGTTGGGCTGCTGGTCACATTACTTAATGACCGAGTGAGCTACGGCATTCATTATCAAGTGTGATGAACTGAGGTCCCTGCAGACAGGCCACAAGGTCATAACTGTTTAAGACATTGTCTGTCTTCTTCACT